CACTGACATTAATAGCCCGGTGGCTATTAAAATAAAACGATTCATAAATTAAATTAATCGTACACGTGACGTTCGTAATGTGTCCTATTAAAGATTTTTTTTCTTTTTTCTTTTTTTTTCTTTTTTTTTTTTTTTTTTCTTCAAATAGATCTATCTATAGCAATCTAATAATAGTTTGCATCTTCATCATATATCTGTGACTTCTTTTTGTAATGTATTTGGGCAACACAGTGAAGTTTAATCAATAATAGTTCACATACAATTTATGAATAAACATAAAACCATGTTTCACGTACGCGGACGCAAATATTTTGTTAACAATGTTTATAATATCATTTCATTACTTATATTATATCTTTTATATATTATATTTATATATGTATATATATATAAAATATATATGTGTATACATATATACATATAAATATACACATATATGCCATTTATATTTTAGATAATACGAATTCTCTTTTATTTAATAATCTAATTCAAACTTTTCATGTATGTATATATATATATATATATATACATACACATACATATATATATGCATCTTATATACATATATATTATATATATAATATAATATATAATATATATATTTACTCTTTTCTCTCTCTGTGTGTAATATATTATTACTCATGTTATGCAATATTTATGAATATACAATTATTTTTAAAGAGCGGTGAGCCAGCGCCTCCAGCTATGAATTGTACTCATGTACACTTATATATTTCATTTGACGCTACAGCTAACATTTTCAGATACTTTAACTAAACCCATTATTGATTACCGCCTATCCCTTATATCACCCTTTCCTAATACCTACCCTCCCCCCCACATTGTTGTTGAAAAAAAAAAAAAACAATGATTTGAAACGTCTGTTATTAGTAGATCCTTTTTCTTATCTAGCAATCAAATATAAGCTGTCTGCTCTTTCTCTTATAATATTGATAATTATTATCAACATAAACAAAGTTTCTAGCTAAAATCCATTCCCTATCTAAAGATTTGATTCAGTGTCAATGTGCAGTTGTTAAAAATCTGTCAAAGATTTGGTTGGCTTAAATAGAATTCCACATAAAGCAGTATCATACAGAACCCAAGGATATATGACATGACTGCTGATCATGACAAACACTTTTTATATGAATCTTAATTTATCCTTATATCTTCACCTGAATACTTAATCATTGCGTAGAAAAGAATCAAAAACACTAGTGAATGGAATATTTCTTTTGAAAAATATTTTACTAGTCAACTATTGAAAAGAAATGTATACAAATATAAATACTTCTATATTACAAAAATAATTATATTCATACTGTTATAATATACAAGGAATGACAAGAATATCTATGTCACAGCTTTTATTTTGTGAAGTGTGTCATGAAATATATTATATTAATTCAAATTGTATTCAACCGATACACCTTGAAACTAAAACAATTAGACAAAAACGTTTTAATGTACAATGCGTTTCAATCATACCAAAATATTACGCATGAGAATCTTTTTGATCCAGTAGTAAATCGAATAATTCTTATCCTAGTGTAATGAATCCTCTGTTCTCAAGAGGAAATGAGAAACAATGACACTTGATGTTTATGTACTTCTGAAAACATTAATCTAAATGCTACAAGATATAATTTTAAGAAGAATTTGAGAAACAAAGGCTTTGGGATTCAGAATAAAACTTGGCAATAAAGTATATTATGTTATTCATTTAGCTGGACCAGCCAGCATTGTAAATATATAAATATATGTTTATACATAGCTCTCCCTTTATATGTATATTTATCTTCCAGCCAAGTTATTTCTGCTTTACATATGTAAGATCTTTGGTTTTGCCAAGGTATTACTCTGCACTTTGAGAGAAAATTTTTTCAAATAGTATGGTAATCATGAGTGAATCGCTTAAACAGTCTAATCATTTCACAGTTCAAGGAGCAGTTCAATACAATAATTTGCAACATCATTTTATGGAAATAAATATAATTTAACTTGCATAATACACATTAAGGTATTAATTCTTCAGAGTCATTCAATTTGTGAGTTCTGTATGATCGTCTAACTAAAAATATCTCTCGCATTAGTACTAAGATTATGCTCCTATATTTAAAAAAAAAAGGAAAAAAAAAATAGATTTATTTTTATGAAACGAAACAATTACCCATGTAACATCGTCGTCTTGACAGTTTTCAAGAACAACTATGGCCAAATTGTGCCATTTCGTTTCTAGTATAATCATAATTTTATCATATCTTCTCTCAATATCCTATACCATACAACTAGATATATTATGTGACTCTGATGTGGTACGTGTGTTATTTGTGATAAAGCCCCGTAACGTGGTGTATCACAGAACAATTGTAGTAGTTATCATTTAACATATAATATTTATATATCATAATAATCTTAAAAGATAGATAAATGTTGACGAACCATGATGGATGCATGAACAGTGATGTGAGAATGCAAGCGCTATAGTGATGTAGCGATAGATGACAACGGGTGGTAGGTGGTAGTGGACGAGTGTTTAAAGAAGGGAAGAAAGAGCTACCGTATCATCATCTCAAGATGATGTGAAAAGATGGATAACGAAGCTCAATAATGGGGATGAACAAAAGTGCTGTACTTGAAATCAATGGATCATATTGGCGAGGGCATTTTGACGTGCTCGTTTTGCTTCCTCTTCACTGATCCTCTGCTCAATTAAATATTGAGCAGTGCCGATTGCATTAGGATAACCCGTGATAGTCACTATGCGGTTCCTGGTACCAGGAGCGAACATGCCCTTCTTAGAGATTTGTATGTTGGCGCCACTTAGGTGCTGAATCTCAATGAGGGCACGACCACCGGGTCCCAGAATAGCTCCCACTATAACCTCTGCAATTTCTATGTCTACTTTCTTGGTCTCCTTGTTGTTGGCGTCTACCTGTGTAGGACTCTTACTTACAAGTGATAACTGGTTAGTGCCAAGGCCAAACGAATTGTTGTTTAGATGAATAGCACTGGCAGCTGTGTTGTTTTGTCTGAATGGGTCAAAGGGCTCGTATCTGTCAAGTGTATTACGTGGTGTAGGAGACGTAGACCCGAGAGCAGGAACTGTTCCAATTGGCCCAAATACGCCGCCATTATTATTCGAACCATTCGCGGTTGTAGTGCTATCCATAGGATTTCCAAGGTAACTCATACTAGAAGGCATTCCAATTCCCATTCCGAGAAGATTATATTTAGCAAGTGTAGCGATAGCAGACAAAATTTCACTAGCAGCAGGTTCGGAAAAACCAGCCGTTCGTAAATTTAATTTTATATGCTCCAATAATTGCGTTGTCACTGGTGCTGTGCTCGCTGTGCCCGTTGTGATTGCAGCTCCTAAATTCAAGTTCAAGCTTAATCCAGCACCATTCAAAAGACTCACTGCGAACAAACGTAAGTCATAATTTGAATACTATTATACCGTTGTCCTGTAATTATTAAACATTTTTTAAATTATTAGAAACCTTACCTGTATTAATACCAGCTGTAGAGGTATACGTGGGAGTACTTGTAGGTGCTTGAGCATAAGGACTGCCCGTGGGATTGTAATTAGCTACAGGACCACTAACATCTGCATAACTAACATTTGGGCATGTTCCACTATGTGGATCATCTGCCACTTTTGCTAATATCATCATTAATGCATTACGGTTATTCTCTTTTTCTCCTATTACCGTTATACACCTTTCTTGTAAAGACACATCTTTCGCCTTCTGACTTATTTGAACATACGAGCCACATTCCTCTTTTATTTGCTTAATGTAATTTCCAGCTTTACCTATTATCATTCCTGCGGTGCTGTTGGGCACCAAAATTTTTACCTAAAATTGAAATTATATTGAACACTACATGTAAATGAAAAAAAATGTTATTCTTCCCGACTGTAACCAATATACACGTGACAAGAATATTTTTTAAAAATATTTAACAAGTCACTACTAACAAAACTTGTTATGTAATATTTAAAAAACAGTATGCATCGATACTTTGGTACATGAAACATAAAAAAAAACATATGTACATACAAACAAAGCTTTTTACCTGTTTATCCCTTTCTGCAGTAGTCTTTCCAGATTCAAAGTCAACAGTTGGCTTTAATGTAAGATCTGGTTTCTCACGAATTTTGTCCATAATAAAATCCATAACTGCCATTATAGCTTCCAAACTACCAGTAATTAAACACACTCTCTCTGTTGTTCCTGTAGATTACATAAAATTATATGCAGATAATGTCATGCCATCTTCTAGTAACAAATAGGCCATAAAATGAACGTTCTCAATCTACCTGGGTAGAAATCATGGGATTTAGACATTTTAACCCTGGCTCCTGTATCTTTCTGTAATTGGGCAATTGTATCCCCTCCTTTGCCAATGATTGCTCCAGCAGCCACGCCAGGGACCAATACTTTGAGGTGATATGTTCCATCTCCCCCTGTGAAACACAAAGTAATTATTACACACATAAAATCAAAAATAATAACAAAATACACAAATTATGAATTAATGCGTGATCAAATACACAGGATAAAAATTACGACTTTTGGAACATTTCATAAAAAATTATGCCTATCACACACTATAGGATAGATTTATATTGAAAAAATCCAAAGCGGTTTTTTTTTTTTTT